AAACAGAAAAAATTGAGTTCAGAAAAAAATTCAGAACAAAATGCACTATTTTGTTTCCCTCCATGTTTTGAATGCACCCGAAACTGGAGTTGTAATACAAGACTGGTACCTAAAGGTTAATACAGTCAAATATTAAATACAATACTGACTGCCAATCATGCCTAAAGTTTTTAAAATCTGACAAAGTCAAAGATGAAGCTAGTTACAAAAATTACATCCTTGGTCCCTTGCTATTACAGCCATTACACATTGGTGGGTTTTCATAGCGCTCAAAAGTGACTAAAGCCCTCAAAACCCTAGCTTAAACCCAGATTCACACATGCATGTTTATTTCTCTGAAATGAAAATATTTAAGTTATACCCTTGATTGTTCAGAGTGTAAAATATCACTCATTTTATAATACATAGAAATCTGATAAATTGCAGAATACTTATTATACATGCTGTAGCTACAAATGTAACACCATATTAGCTGTGAAATATTGGCTCATGTGATAGGTTTGATGGCTTAATGAAATTCTTCCTTTTTTTGCAGAAGATGGCAACATACCCAGATCATGAAGAGCAAGAAGAGACTATTTTTGAAAAAAAATTTCAAGACTTGGACGAAACGTTATCATATTGTGAAAATATCCCAGATAACCCTCCAAATTGTGACATAGAATACTTTCGCAACAGATTGAAAAGTGCAGTGGATGGCTTAAATTGTTTAGAATTTAATTTAGTTATAAATAGAGCTGATCAGAGCTTAATTGATAAAATTCAAACCCTATTATCTTGTCTTCAGCCCCTGAGAGAACATTGGAGCACGATAGATTTTTCTATGCCATCTAGTTTCTTGAGCATTGTTGATGGAGCAGGATGTATTTCAGCGACTGATAGGCTGGGAAGGCCTCCTGCTTTTATATGCACCGACCAAGTGGAATATTTGTTTAAAATTGGTTTTAAGATAGGTGAAATAGCCAGAATGTTCTTAGTGCACAGAACAACACTATGGAGACGACTTAAATATGAGGAGAAGAATCTGGTTAGACATACTATGATAAATGATTTAGAATTGATGTCAGTGATGCGAGAAATCGTTAACAGTCAACCACATACTGGTGTGAATATGATGATTGGCCACTTAAAAGCAAAAGGTATAAGTGTGCAACAGTCACGTGTAAGGAGAACTCTGCGTGATATTGATCCAGGAAGCACATTGATACGATGGGGCTTAACTGCAGTTCGCAGGAAATACTCAGTTGCAGGGCCTAATGACCTATGGCATATTGATGGACACCATGCGCTGATCCGCTGGAAATTAGTAACACATGGAGGTATTGATGGTTTTTCGCGATTAATAGTGTTCTTAAAATGCTCGAACAACAACTTGGCGGTCACTGTTTTGAACTCGTTTTTGGAAGCAGTTGAATCGTACTCATTACCATCTCGAGTCAGAGGTGATCAAGGAAGTGAAAATGTTTTAGTTGCTAGATATATGGAAGAAAGGCGAGGCTCTGATCGTGGTAGTTTTATAGCAGGAAAATCTGTGCACAATAGCAGAATTGAAAGGCTTTGGAAAGATGTTTATTATGCTGTAATTCAAACATTCTATTCATTGTTTTACTATCTAGAAGGAAATGATCTGCGAGATGTTGATAATCAAAAGGATCTGCTGTGTTTACATTATGTGTTTATACCTCGTATCAACGAAGCACTCTCTCAATTCGTAGTGGCATATAATAGTCATGGGTTAAGAACAGAACGTTGTTGGTCACCACAAAAGATCTGGGTGAACAGCATGATTAAAAAAAAACATTCATTCAGCTGAACTGAATAGTGAAAATATTTTAATTGATGGAATTGAGAAGTATGGAATAGACCCTCATGTTAATGATGTTCAAACACATGGTGAAGATATTGGCTCATTGGACATGCTGAATATGCAACCAGATCATGTAATTGTAGATGTGGATAACTTGTTGAGTCAGGTTGACCCTCTTATTCCAAGTAATGAACATGGAGTTGATGTTTATCTTGCTGCAAGAGAGATTGTACGACATGATGATGTGAAGAATTAGATAAAAATAAAATTCTGGGTTTTTTATTTTCACTGGTACATGTAGATTATTGTACACTGACCCTGTACTTGTCCATGTTAAGATGATGTAATACATGTTAAATTATATTTGTGAAGTCAAAATTACTTTAAATGTATAACATACATGTACATTTGAATACATTGTATGAGACAACAAACCTTTACAAAATGTGAAATAAAAAGAACAATACAAAACATACAACAAGAGTGTACACACTGAAACGTCTCGCCTGCTTTACTTTTCACTGATATTATGTTGAAAGTCCTAAATATAAAGCTTAACTATAACTATCACACATGATCCAAGAAAATGAGGTCATATAAACCAATCAAGAAAAACAGCTGAAGGACGCCTCCGGATGTGGGAATTTCTCGCTACATTGAAGACCTGTGGGTGACCTTCTGCTGTTGTTTTTTCTATGGTCGGGTTGTTGTCTCTTTGACACATTCCCCATTTCCATTCTCATTTTTATGTCATGTACATGTCACAATCATTCTATACACTAAATATAGTAAGTTGACCTATGGCTTATAAATAGCTTCAAAGAAACAGACTGAACTATGAAAACTAAACAATGACCGATGAAAATGAGGTCAAGGTCACATGAACAATACTTGGCAGACAATTACAGCCTACTATACTTCCATACAACAGACATATTTGACCTATTGCTTATAGTTTTACACCAAAACACAAAACTTAACACCTTGCAATGAACAGTGAAAATGAGGTAAAGGTCAAATAAAACCTGTGAGACTGACACGTAGATCATAAAATATTTCTATGCATCAAATATAGTTGACCTATTGCATATACAATTTAATATTACAAAAAGACTAAAACTAAAAAAAAATATTTTTTTTATCTCTGAACCATGAAAATGAGGTAAAAGTCAGATGACACCTTACAATCATTCCATATAGTAAAAGAAAAAAGACAACAAAAAAATAACAACTGAACCATGAAAATAAGGTCAAGATCAGATGACACTTGCCAGTTGTACATTTTCACCTTTACAGTCCTTCCGTACCAGAAATATTGCTTATATGATATCCGAGATATGGACTTGACCACCAAAACTTTACCTTGTCCACTGATACATGAAATGAGGTCGAGGTCAAGTGAAAACTGTCGGACAGGTATGAGGACCTTGCAAGGTATGCACATACCAAATATAGTTGTCCTATTACTCATTTCAGACAGAATTTACATTACAAAAAATCTCCAACCTTTTATTTTTTCAAATAGTCGCTGAACCATGGACATGTGACAGATGGAAACTTCATAACATAAGCCATCTATATACAAATTTTATGTCGCCTGCTAATCACAGAACATGTAAGAGTCACTTTGACACTACATGTCGTCAGCATCAAAAAAAACCAAAGCTTCAAAAATATGTCGAGAAACTTAATAATGCACAAATATGCATGGTTTATTTCAATATCAGTTCATTTTTACTTGAAAAAATTGTGAAAAATATTTCTCAAATGGTTTTTTTGTAAACATTGACCCCTGCTGGTGGCAACATTTTTCAACAGACCGGAGAAAAACGAAGACCATTTGTTCAGGACATGTCATAGATCATGACTTTTTAAGTTTCAAGATTTTTGAAAATCGGAGGCTCACAATGACCCTGCATGTGTAGCCCTTTTGGCAATCCTTTTTTGGTCTAGATTTTCCACATATCTTAAGAGCTTTATAATATTCAAATATATGTATGGTTTAATTTGTTCACATATCAGCTACTTTGTACTTGAGAAATTGGAAAAATATGATTTCCCGTAGGGTTTCTATGTAAACTTTGAACCCTGGCTGTGGCCATTTTTCGTCAGACCAGAACAAAATAAGGATTTATGTAAAGTTTCAAAACATTTTGCCTAGTAGTTTCAGAGACAATCTTTGAAAATTGGCCAAACAGAATCTAAGATTTGCTCTAGCGGACATGTTTTTCATTGGACTAGAACAAAGTAGGGTCATTTGTTAAGGACCTTGCACTGACCATTCGTGCAAATTTTACTTAAAATCTGTCAAGAGGTTTCAGAGAATGAAAATGTGAAAACTTTATGACAAATGATGGTCATAACTTGATGGCAATTGGACTTTTACTTAGGTGAGCTAAAAAGTGTTTATGAAAATCTTCAAAATTTATTATAAATTTCCAAAAACATACATGTAAGAATGTGGGTTTTTGCACTTGGACCTATATATACACATAACACATACTTTAATAAAACATTTTAATGAAAATAAACCTGACAGTTATGTTCTCCATAAATTGCAAAACAAAAGTTCATAGTATTATGATAACATTAGATCTAAATATTTTATTTTCAACAACTCATCAGTTTCCCTAACTGTTATACATGTTTTACAAAATAATCAAACTCAGATGTCTGTGCAGTTTGAGTCAAACAACAATTTAACATATAATACACCTGAGTTTCTTGTTGTTCAAAACTATAACATAATAAAATGTTTGGCAGGGCACAGCTTGACACGACCGCAGAAGTGGAACCCTGAAAAGTGGGAGCAAATATGGACACAACATTCGAGTTTCATACAGCTCTGAATTTGGATTGTGATTAAAAAGTTAAAACTGCATAGGTTTCTGACACAGAATGAATGGGGTCTAAAAGCTGAAAAGTTTTAAATTGGACATTCACTTTTTATGGTCCATTTTCCAAAATTTAAATACATGGTTAGATTCAGCGTATCAAAGAACCACAAGAACTCAATTTTTGATGAAATCAAATAAAGTTCCAATTTTGGACCCTTTAGACCTTAATGTGGACCAATTTGATAACGGGGCCCAAATATCAAAAATCTAAATACATGGTTAGATTGAGCATGTCAAAGAACGAACCCCTTATATTCAATTTTGGTTGAAATCAAACAAAAGTTTAATTTGAACCCCAAGAATTATTTTTTTGTTAAAATCAAACTAAGTTTAATTTTGGACCCTTTGGATCTTAATGTAGACCAATTCGAAAACAGGACCAAAAATTCAGAATCCAAATACACGGTTAGAATCGACATATCAAAGAACCCAAATAATTCAATTTTTGATGAAATCAACAAACAAAAAAAGAGTTAAAATTTTACCCTTTTGGCCTCTTCCTCCTAAACTGTTAGGACCAAAACTCCAAATATCAATCCCAACCTTCCTTTTGTGGTAAAAAACCATGCGTTTAAATTTCATAGACTTTTATTTACTTATACTAAAGTTATTGTGTGAAAACCAAATGTCTATGGACAACGACAACATGATACCATTTGTATAAGAATTTATATGATCAATATATTTATACAGAAATATTCAAATTTGTATTTGTAACAACCTTTGCACCAGGCAAGACAAAAAATGAAGATGAAGTATGGATGAATATTAAAATTAGAGGCTCCAATGAATGGTTCATGCCAGTCCAAAGCCTGGTGAGTTTGCAATTCCAAAAGTCATGTGTTTTCTGAATGTATTAAAATCTACTGAAACTGGAAGCTTCAACTCCATTGAGCATGTGTTTGCTTTTGGAAACAATCCTGAGTCATGAAGAAAAGTAATAGATGGTGATGGATCAAATCCTAATGGAGGTACACAGTCTGCTCCAGTTGCAAATGATAAAACATCACCTAAGGTAATTTCACCATCCTCATCTTCTGAAATAAGACAAATAAAAAAAAATTTATACAAAATGTTGACTTCAGTTGAGGTTTACTCATGTTTATACAAACCAGGTAAGTAATTGAATGACCAAAACCAACAGCCAAGCTGGTAGTAGATCAATCACAGGGAATGTCCATATAGTCATAATTATACAAAAATCAAAGAGGATAACTGATTCATTAAATGTTATGTAACAAAGTTGAACTTTAGTTGGCTATAAAAGCTAAACAACCTCACTCAATAAACTTTCATATTACTACATGAACAATATTTTTTATGCTTCACATCTCAATGAGGTCACAATATGAAATAAAACAAAGTCTGTCTTTACATGGTTTATTATATCACTGGTCCCTAATTTTTTTAAAGATAAAAACAATGACAAGAATGTGTCCAAAGTACAGGGATGCCCTACTCGCATTATCATTTTCCTTGTTCAATGGACTGTGAAATTGGTGAAGTTTCAAAGTTGAAGGCACATAATTTCAGTCAAATCAGCAGAGCAGAAAGAATGGTATACTTTTATCTGCAAATTTTTGAAAAAAAGTTGGGATGGACTGTGGACCAGTCAAAAACATCATTTCCTTCGCAACTTGGTTGCCTTCGGTATAATAACATGCATTGTGATATACACCCAGTCCCCCATGCAACATTCAGAGCAAGTGATATTACGTGTGCACATCTTCATAAAATGTCCCTCTGTATTGCACTGACTGGATGCAAGGAGTTGCAGCTATAGTGATTTTTACTTTTACTTAACAAAATTTTAATTGCAATTATGACAGCATTGGCTGACCTAGAAGTCATGGCCACACAAGACTTTAAATCTCGCAATTTGAAGGGGTAAATTAATAAACTGCTTTGCTGAGTACAGCTGGATATGCTCTCAGAGGTCCAACCCTGAATAGTTAGGGCAAAAATGGACACAATATTAAAGCTTGATACCGGTCTAAAGGAGTAGGTCCAGTAAGGGCCGATTTTGGCCTCAAATTTCAGGTTCTTCTAACGAAAGATTTTAGACACTTTTTAAACACTGAAGTGTCTATTTCAATTGATTCAATTAGTTTATGTGACATATTTTAACTGATGTAGTCATTAAAAACGCTTCGATTCAAGCTAAAATATGAAAAATCTATCAAATATGCCAGGAAACGTCACTTTTCGGATGGTTTTTGTCAAAAATGAAAGTTGCCGCATCCGTGTTCATCCTCAACCTTTATATATGTTATGTATTATCATCAAATAGAACTTACATTTCAATATTATGAATGAACACGAATGCGGCCACTTTCATTTAAGATGGAAACCATCTAAAATCTAACCAAAATGCTAAAATTGTGAAGATTTCAGTAATTTAGCATGACTTCATGATGCTAGTTCCCGATATATGTGCATTGTATTGTCAAAAACAGTCCATATTTATGTAGCAGAAGCATTCTACTTTCCAATAAATAGCTTACAGATTACATTTTCAAAATTTTGTAAAACTGCTATATTTTGGGGCCAAAAAGGGGTCTTATTGAACCTACTCCTTTGGATTGTATAGAATATTTGACATAAAGGTTTCTGAATAAATGTAGTCAAAGAACTTGAAATCTGTTATAAAAATTGAATTTATATTCAATTAAAGATTTCTTGCTGTGCTGTTGCTCAATACTTAGTAAATCTGTTGTCAGACTATAAACAAATAAATTTCAATAATTACTCAATGTTAGATATCAAAAATTTAATAAAAAAACCTATAGGGAGGTTATCTTTATAGATATAAATCAGACATCAAAGTTTAATAAAAACTAGAGGCTCTAAAGAGCCTGTGTCGCTCACCTTGGTCTATGTGAATATTAAACAAAGGACGCAGATGGATTCATGACAAAATTGCATTTTGGTGATGGTGATGTGTTTGTACATCTTACTTTACTGAACATTCTTGCTGCTTACAATTATCTCTATCTATAATGAACTTGGCCCAGTAGTTTCAGTGGAAAATGTTAGTAAAAGTTTACAAATTTTATGAAAATTGTTAAAAATTGACTATAAAGGACAGTAAGTCCTTAGGGGGTCAATTGACCATGTTGGTCATGTTGCCTTATTTCTAGGTCTTACTTAGCTGTACATTATTGCTGTTTACAGTTTATCTCTATCTATAATAATATTCAAGATTATAACAAAAAACGGCAAAATTTCCTTAAATGACCAATTCAGGGGCAGCAACCCAACAACCGGTTGTCCAATCCATCTGAAAATTTCAGGGCAGATAGATCTTGACCTGATTAACAATTTAATCTCTTCAGATATGCTCTAAATGCTTTGGTTTTTGAGTTATAAGCCAAAAACTGCATTCTACCCCTATTTTCTATAACAATTCTTATTATCAATCCAATACTTTCTAAATACTACCTTTTGAACTTCTCCTCTCAAGTCACCATCTGCTATATCTTCAATATTCCTTTCTCCAGCTTGTCCCACTAACGCATTGTACATAGCTGGAGAAAGGAATTTTGGTGATGGTCCTCTGTGTACAATGGATAGGGAAAAGAATAATCCAACATCTCTGTACAGATTGTCTTCTAGGGCTACAATAAAACAAAACTAAATATTTTGCTGAAATGTGATAAAAGATTTAAGATATATTAAATTTAACATTTAGAGGCCTTAATAGACATGATAGATGTCAAAGAATACATTTTACTATTCATAACTATATATTATCAATCCCTGATTCAGTGATATAATATATATCATGTTTGTTTTGTGTTTCACAGACCTTCCAGAAATCAGAAGCAAAATGAAGGAAAACAAGAATGTGTCCCTAATACATGGTTGCACCATCTGCATTATAATTTTCTGTTTAGTGGACCGTGAAAATGGGGTAAAAACTCTAATTTGGCATTAACATTTGAAAGATAATATCATAAGGTACAAGTATACTAAGTTTCCTCAACTTCATCAAAAACTTACTCAACCAAAAACTTTAACCTGAAGCCGGACAGACAGACAAATGAACGGACAGACGGAAGAACAAACGAACGAACAGACCAGAAAACATAATGCCCATAAATGAGGCATAAAAATGGTCCTTCCCTTTAAAACTGTAACAAGTGTCTAGATCCCCAAAGTGTCCCCTATTGTAAATGGTGTGAGGGTTATTGTGAGAGATGGGTCAAGATCCCTAATGCACCAGCTCTAGATGAGGAACCCCAAGTAATGTGTAAAAGAAATCTCTGTGTATTGATATTGGACATGTTTCTATTTTTTACAAATGATTGAGCTTAACCATTTGTGGTGATAAGGAAAGTAGAGGGAAATAGAATAATAAATGTGTAAAAGCTATGGAGCTATTAAAAGTTCAAAGAACTTATTGTGTTAAAACAGGGATTTTTGACCACAAGGAGCCGCATCACGAAAGAATACTCTGGGTTTGCTAATTTACAGAAAAAGTAATCTCACTTCGTACCCTGAAAATTTAACCACAAATAAGAAAATGTCTCAGCTTCAAAACGAGCCATCATATATATCCAAGTTAACGATATGGACTGAGCAACAGAAGAAAACGTTACCATTACGGCCTATGGAGAAACAATTGCAAACCTTGAACCAGATGATTGATAATTGAACATGACAAAATACCTCTCCATCCCTATAAAGTGGGAGACATAAAAATGTAACTGTATAGAGAATACATGAAATTCCTTTTTTAATCTTTCACCAAGATGAGACAATATAATCATCAGTGATATTGTTTGCCTTAAATTAGTGGAGAATAAAGGCTTTTTCCCCTGGAGAAGAATCCCAATTTGAAAAAATAATGGCTAAAAATTATTCCCAAAAAGACAATTTTTTTCCCAAACAGTGCTGTCTCAGTAGAAATGAATGAAGTGCATGAATACAAACTGAAAAACACTCATTTAAACATTTTTCATGCCTAAAATGACTATACTTGCAGATTTGAGGGTCTATTTATGTATCATCACTGACAAAATGAGGTCTTATTTTAAAGCAGGGTTTGACATTGAAGTTTCAGTCAAATTCATGGTTAATTTAAATTTCCCAATTTGATGAAAATGACACATATTTTCCCAATAAAAAAGGGTAGAGGTAGTTTAGAAAAAAAGCCAACAATATCACTGGAATCATACCTGATGTACTATAGGCCAAAATTCTTGTTTTCAGGACCTTCAAAAATGTGCAGGTATTGGATCTTTTTCATCAGCATTCTCAAGAACTCTCTTTTTGGTCCACCTTCATCTATGGCACCTTCTGCGATTCCTACATCGTCCCTAAACTTCACACTTATCTTGCTTTTAGCACAGAAGGATTTCCTTTTGATGGCACTCCGAGCACCATCTAAAACAAGGTTTCTGTTGATATTGAATTTCGTTATCTTCTCCAGGTCAACCTGTGACTGTAACTTTATTAATAACTCTGGCAAACTGATATCACTAAAATGAACAAAAAATAGTTGACACAACACAGGTTTCTGACACATAATGAATGTGGTCTAAGAACTTAAACTTAAAAACTTTAAATTTTAAATTGGACATTACCTATTATGGTCCAATATCTAAAATCAAAATACATGGTTAGATTCAGCATATCAAAGGACCCCAAGAATTCAATTTTTGAGGAAATCAAATAAAGTTCAATTTTGGACCCTTTAGACCTCAATGTGGACCAGTTTGATAACCGGGCCCAAACATCAAAAATCTAAATACATGGTTAGCTTAAGCATATATCAAAGAACCCCATATATACAATTTTTGTTGAAATCAAACAAAGATTTATTTTGGACCCAAATTTGGACCAACTTGAAAATTTGGCCTATAATCAAAAATCTAATACATGTTTAGGTTCAGCATATCAAAGAACCCCAGGGATTCAATTTTTGTTGATATCAAACAAAGTTAAATTTTGGACCACAATTTGGACCAACTTGAAAACTGGGCCCATAATAGAAAATCTAAGTACATTTTTAGATTCAGCATATCAAATAACCCCAAGGATTCATTTTTTGTTAAAATCAAACTTAGTTTAATTTTGGACCCGTTGGACCTTAATGTAGACCAATTTGAAAACGGGACCAAAAATTAAGAATCTACATACACAGTTAGATTCGGCATATCAAAGAACCCCAATTATTTAATTTTTGATGAAATCAAACAAAGTTTAATTTTGGACCCTTTGGACCCCTTATTCCTAAACTGTTGGGACCAAAACTCCCAAAGTCAATCCCAACCTTCCTTTTGTGGTCATAAACCTTGTGTTTAAATTTCATAGATTTCTATTTACTTATACTAAAGTTATTGTGCGAAAACCAAAATAAATGCTTATTTGGGCCCCTTTTTGGTCCCTAATTCCTAAACTGATGGGACCTCAACTCCCAAAATCAATCCAAACCTTCCTTTTGTGGTCATAAACCTTGTGTTTAAATTTCATTGATTTCTATTTACTTAAACTAAAGTTATAGTGCGAAAATAAAAAAAATGCTTATTTGGGCCCTTTTTAGCCCCTAATTCCTAAACTGTTGGGACCAAAACTCCCAAAATCAATCCCAATTTTAGTGCAATTTAAGTATACATAAATAAACATGAAATCTTCAAATACGTACACATCCATTGGTATGGTTTTGTCACCTTCATCATCAGAGTCATCAACTGTTACTATTTCAGTTTCAAACAGCTGGACATATGACCTAAGTAATAAATAAATCTTGGTTTGATTAACCTATTGTACATTCTGTTTTCCTTTTTACTTAAATGCTATTTTTTATGTCTGTAATGTTTATATGAAGTTAAAGACATTTATGACACAACATATGTTGAAACCTCCAGGTTGGGTACTTGTCACCAATACGGATATTCAATTGAAAAAATACATGTAAAGTATGCTGGATTTTCGTATCATATCTTTGACAAAAATAAAAATAATCAACTATCACTAAGTTTGTCTTGTTCTTAATATTGTCTGAGGGTTCAACTGCGAAACACATGACTTTGCCTGGATGATAATCTACTATCTAGGATGCATGCAAATACAAGGTTAGATGATTCTACCATGTATAGTTATAACGCTTCACATACACAAATTTTTCTTACGATTGCTTACGAATCTCAAAACTTTACCAGATTCATAAAACTTTCACAAGCTGCTGATAGGGCTTTAAACCTTAACCAATCGATCAAACCTAAATCTTAAATCAAAATCAAATACATTTGCAAAGTACTGGAATATATCCCAAAACAATCAGAAATGTATATTCATATACATCAAGAAAGAGGGGGGTAGGAGGGGTCCTGATCCCGAAATCCCGGGCTTAAAAACACGAAATCCCGAGGTCCCGAATTTAAATAAAGTTAAATCCCGGATCCCGAAATTTGAAAAAAAGATTTCCCGGATCCCTATGTAGTAAATCCCGAAATCCCGAGCTTAAAAACACCCGATCCCAGAGTCCCAATAAAGGTCCTATCCCCCCTCAAGAAAGTATTTATATTTATTCCTAAACTTGTGGCCAACCAATTATAAACTATACTCAATCATTTGTAATTGATTCATAAAGCAATCGTATTCAATTACACACAAAAGACTTTTCACCTTTCTTTAAGAATAGTGTTTGTGTTGTTACATTAAGTTAACAATGCTTTACAAATGACTAAGACTGGATGGCGAGCTATTTACGAATGAAGTTATCTAAAAACAATCAGCCATTTGTTGAAAATTATTTGACATGTCAAATCAGGGATCAGCAGAATGTATAAGAGTTGTTTTAAGAGTTAAATTCCAATGCTTGCTGTGAATGACAAAAAAGTTGTAGATTTGTGAGCATTTATAAGAAAAAAATTCTGTATGTGAATTGGTATTAATACTAAGAAAGATGTGAACTTGGAAGTAAACTTAAATGTAAGTCAGTCAAGTAAAAAATATAGGTTACAGTGATTCATTATATCAAGAAATTGTGTCCAGATTATCTACAAATAAAATACCTGTAAGTTGAAGGACATGCTGGAGCATCATTACCAGTAGATGACCGCAAGCTTAATCGAGATCTACGCTCTCTACGTTCTAAGCACGATGGATGAAATGTTATCTATAAAACAGGGTAATCCGTCTTAAAATTAAACAATTTCAAATTGTAAAACAATTGCAGAGTATTCTTGGTCAGCACATATAGCATTTCAACTTATCATACATGCATGTTATTTTAATTCATTTTGATTTTTTAACAAATGTATACTGCTTGTCATCTAAATCAGGTTTCACTTTCTAAGACCTGCTGCTCACTATTTACAGATTCAGTTAATACTGCCATTTTTCTGAAATGAAATCTCCCTAGGCACTTTTGTTTTCTTTTTGACATTTCTTTAATAATAGTTTCGGCAGGCATTGAAATATCTGAATTGTCCATTACTAAAGATTACAGAAACTCAGTTCAGAACTGATACTGGTAGATTTAAATCAAAATTGATCACCTGTGGCGTAAACAGCTATTTAGAACAAGAGATTGAAATAAATTTGGGGCCTTTCTTTTAATGCAATAACAAATTTTCAGTGCGGCATTTGTCATGTTGGATGTAAAATGCAAATTTTGCAATAGTGCCTCCTAGAACATGTAGAATACTCTGGAACTAGTTTAATCAAAGTCCATTGAAATATATTAAATCCAGAGTGCTCACAAGGATGAAACAAACTGAAAATTTTGAAGTTCTGTTTGCCCATGACAATCAATCTATGATCTTAAAAAAGCAATCACATTTGAGGTCATGATATGTAATGAGTTTGTTAAAAAGATGCATGACACACATTTCATAATAAAACCTTTTCACATCCATTCTAATGGAATAGCTAAGTTACATGTAAATACTAACTGTCGGTGTGCCTGTATCTTCCCGATCACCTTCCGGATCACCTTCCACTATATCTTGACTTTGCACAGTTTTGGTGATGTCTGTTTGTGGTTTCTACAATATTCATAAAACTATATTATCCTAGTTCAATAAATTCCTTCAGGATTATTATCCTACAGGAGTGTGTCAAAAATACACACCAGAAACATACACTTCAAAATACTGAAGTAATATTTAGCACTAAATTCATAGAATACTGCAAATAATAATTTATTAGTTTAAACATATTTATTTATACTGGATTGGGAAACAAGTTTTTCATCTTATATTAATCCCTTTCCACTTTGCAGGTGCTAGTGCTGCTTGTAGCGGCATTACCCTGCTCTTTTTTTCGAAATCTACAAGGGTGTCCTTTACATGCAAGAGATATGACTCTCTCTTAACACTAATTTAATTTATTGCATACAACATGTACAAAGAGCTGTTCGGGAAGTAGTTTCATTGTGTACACTTAAAACTTATAGCACATCATGGAATGCTGTTTGCAATTGGATTTACATTAAACATTAACACTGTCATTGAAGCAAATGCTATTTTTTCTTTCCCTTTCCTAGACATCCCCCCCTCATAATTTTAATGCAAAGGTGTCATTTTTCTTCTGAAAAGTGTTAATATGGTAAATGTCACAACCATAAACAAACTAAAAAATCATTTTTAATAAAATGCTCCGCAGGGCGCAGCTTGATACGACCGCAGAGGTCGAACCCTGAACAGTTGGGGCAAGTATGGACACAACATTCAAGCTTGATACAGCTCTGAATTTGGATTGTGATTAAATATTTGACACAGCATAGGTTTCTGACACAGAATGAATGTGGTCTAAGAACTTAAAAATTTTAAATTGGACATTCACCTATTATGGTCCAATATCCAAAATCTAAATACATGGTAACAATAGATTCAGCATATCAAAGAACCCCAAGAATTCAATTTTTGATGAAATCAAACAAAGTTTAATTTTGGACCCCTTTTGACCTCAATGTGGACAAAGTTGATAACGGGGCCCAAAAATCAAAAATCTAAATACATGGTTAGATTCAGCATATCAAAGAACCCCATATATTCAATTTTTGTTGAAATCAAACAAAGTTTAATTTTGGACCCCGATTTGGACCAACTTGAAAACTGGGCCCATAATCAAAAATCTAAATACATGTTTAGATTCAGCATATCAAAGAACCCTAAAAATTCAATTTTTGTTAAAATCAAACTAAGTTTAATTTTGGACCCTTTGGACCTTAATGTAGACCAATTTGAAAACCGAATCAAAAATTAAGAATCTAAATACACGGTTAGACTCTGCATATCAAAGAACCCCAATAATTCAATTTTTGATGAAATCAAACAAAGTTAAATTTTGGACCCTTTGGACCTCAATGTGGACCAATTTAAAAATAGGGCCCAAAATCCAAAAACTTAATACACGGTTAGATTCAGCATATTAAAGAACCCCAAGAATTCAAGAATAAAACCCCATTGAAATTGATCAAGAAATAAGCAATTTATACGAAGTATCTTCTTCTGCACAATACTGTGCAATTGAATATTTCTTGCTATTGCGCAATACTGTACAATTGACAATTTCTTGCTATTGCGCAATATTGTGCTATTGGATATTTCTTGCTAATGCGCAATACTGTGCAATTGAAGATTTCTTGCTATTGCGCAATACTGTGCAATTGAAGATTTCTTGTTATTGTGCAATACTGTGCAATTGAAAATTTCTTGCTATTGCACAATACTTATTATATAATAATTTACACATCCTGTTTGGTGTGTATCTCCTACCATATCATTATTATTTGCTTTTAAATATTAATCAGAAATAACCAACTTAAAATGAAAAATTTTAAAAGAAAAAAAAAAGAAAAAAAAAAATCCCCCCTCCCAAATTTTTTGAACCCCCTTATGATTCATCACCCCCAAACTCAATACCAGCCTTCCCTTTGTGGTATGGTACCTTGCAGTACAATTTCAGAGAGATCCATACACTTGAACACAAGTTATTGTCTGGAAACTAGAAAAATGCTTATTTTTGGCCCCTTTTTGGCCCCCAATTCCTAAACGTTTCGGGCAATTACCCCCAAACTCAATTCCAGCTTTCCCTTTGTGATATGGAACCTTGTAGTACAATTTCAGAAATATCCAAACACTTACACACAAGTTATTGTCATGAAACTAGAAAAATGCTTGTTTTTTGCCCCTTTTTTTGCCCCTAATTCCTAAAATTTTGAGGCAATTACCCCCAAAATCAATTACAGCCTTCCCTTTGTGATATGGAACCTTGTGGTACAATGTCAGAGAGATCCATACACTTACACACAAGTTATTGTCTGGAAGTTACAAAAATGCTTATTTTTTGCCCCTTTTTGGCCCCTAATTCCTTAACTGTTGGTACCATAACCCCCAAAATCAATCCCAACCTTCCTTACGTGGTATTGAACCTTATGGTAAAATTTCATGGAGATCCATTCACTTAAACTAAAGTTAGAGTGCGAAAACCAATGTGTCTTCGGACGACGATGACGACGCCAACGTCATACCAATATACGACCAAAAAAATTTTAATTTTTGCGGTCGTATAAAAATGCATGAATTTAGCTAACAAAGTGTGGTCATGAAAATATGTTTTATAAAAGGATGAACGTCAGCGAGTCGATCGATCTATATAAAAAAAAAATTGTTGTAGGGGCAAAAGATATAAAATTTATTTCATGAAAAGCTTAACGTTAACATCATCATGATGATCCATTTATCTGAATGTGTCACAAGATTGCTATTTAGTGTTACATGCACAATTGTTAATTACAAACTAGACTGTACTGTCTTCAAGGGAACCTGTATGTCGCCTGCATTTTATTCATAGCATTGCACACATTATTTATGTCCACAGTCCACTATGTGTAATTTCAAAGTTTTTGATAAACAGGATGTAGTTGAGTGACAGCAATGAAAAACAATTCTAAAGGATAAAGCATAGAGGTGCAAAATATCAAATGTCTGTACTGCATGTAGTTGTAGAGAAAACTGCAATGAAATTTTGCATACATATTTGACCAGCATGCCTTAAATATCAAAGTTTTTGGTATTAAATAGGAAGTACATAAGCAAAGCCATGAAAATGCTTTACGCGTCATAGTACTTCGAGATAAAGCATTCTCCAAAATATTAAGTCTGCTGCATGTAGTTGATAAGAAAACTGCAATGAAAATGTGTGACAACATTGCGGTGCATATGCGGCAAAGGTCTTGGAAAGATGGATTTTGTCAAAGTGACCCCTATATAAAACACAGGCGACATAAAAATATATTATATGTATCAGTATATACATGAAGTGCACTTGGATAAGAATATTAATCTATAGGTACATAGAGTGAGTATGATAGGATTACCAAGCATTTCATACCTGTTGTGTGTCGAGTACGAATACAATTTTCTGCCACTGTACAAATATTGTTTTTATCCTGTATTTATAAAATGTACAAATTATTTTTTCATACAAAACAGAATAACAGAAAGACATTCTTAAAAAAATGATTCCATATGAACACATCATATAGGAAAGCATGAATCATGTAAAATTAAAATGGGTCAAAGACAGAAAGGGCCAGTTTTTGTTAAACAAGAAGAAGAGCTACAAACCTCACTCTGAAATCACATCTCATTGATGTGAGAGCCCATACAGAAGCTGCATACCAAATATGAAGAGCCTGTGATTTTTAGTTCCTGAGATAAATATTAAAAATACAGTATTTCCCTGCGACCAACATTCACATATTATAATTAAGCTGATTTTTCAACTCGCAAAATCCAGCCAAAAATCATTAATCTAACTTGAAGGTAAAAGACCATCATCCTACATGTAGCAAGAGCAGAAACATCACCTTCATGTGATCTATCCACATGCAAAATAATAAAAGCCTATCACAAATTTTAGGTACATGCTAGACATGATTTTGTTTTGAGTGGCAGCTGACGACTGATTACTATAGTGTGACCACTACTAAGAAACATTGTTTTATTTATTGTCGATTAAAACTACATGTGTAATATCCTGTGTTCTATGGTTTTGAGCTCTAAAAAGTTATGATGCTGCATAATTACCTGTAAAGAGTGTGTCTTGCCGAATACTGGAAGTTCCTCGTCTGTCATGTCTGTGTCATCTAATTTGTTTTGATCCATCATGTCCATATCATTTTCGAACTAAAAATGAATTCATACTTGTAAAACAACTATCAATATTTTTGCAGTAAGATACTATATCACTAATTAGAAAACTTTTTATGTGTGTTAACGAACATTGCAAAAAATCTGCACCCATCCCCCCTAAAAGAAGAACATTACATTAAATTATGTTTCTTTCCTTTAAATGGATATTGCAACTCCCTCAAGACTCATTATACAGTTTGATGTTATTAATTCTTTAATAAATATTTTGCGGCCCATATTTTGTCATACAACTAAAAGTAGGTGTTTTACTGTTTACTTTCTCAGGTAACAGTTAACTTTGTGATCAATGCTTATGTGTAGTTGTCCTTCATGTATAGTTATACAATATTAAACTGTATTTGTCATATAAGTAACATTATACTTTTAACATAAACAAAAATAACAACAACAATAAAATAACTGAGTGGAACACACACATATCTATACAGTCAGAGCTCTGACATAAACAAGTCAGAATAAAATGACTTCCATAGGTCAGATATAATTTGATGTAAGTGTTGTCTCCCTTCTTGCACTCAACAGAATATGACTTGTACAGGTCAGTTTATGTCAGACTTTAATTTATCATAAAATGACTTCCACAGGTCAGATTTTGCACAAAATATCGTGACTTAATATCTTCATATTCTAATAAGATTTATGCCCCTTTTTAATGCATTTTGACTTCGAGAGGTCATTTTTGTTCTGATTTGAAGCAGTCATTACTACCACTTTGTTATCAATCTCCATAAAAATATGGTGATTACTAGTTTCGAATTAAAGAGTTTTAAAAAGTGGGGCTCATCTGACATCATACCTTCTCCTTTCCAGAATCTAAACATAATATATTTATCTCATCACTTTCAATTATTTCAAAATACAAAGAAAAACCAGGTGAGAAAAAATGGATCATACAATTTTCTGAATATCAAAAGATTTACAAAATACAATATTGGATACATTACATGACAATACTTCAAATCTTCCAAGGAAAAACAAGACACTTATTCATGATAAGACTATGTTAATAAAAGATATATTCTCATCCACTTTAAGCTAAATGTATTAAGAGCAAAACATTTATTATTTTAATATTTCATTGAGGTAAATACTGTTGTGCAAACTGACTCAAACAAGTCACATTATGTTCTGACTTACTAAACGTATTACAACTTTTAAGTCTAGTATTGTCATATTGATTTAAAAATGTATAGGTAAGCCAGATAAAAGACTGAGGAAATTAGGTCCCCATAAGTCACAATAATGAGGACTATAAAAAAGTTTATTTGGTATATTCAATATTAAATGTATTTTGTTTTAAACAGGTCAAATCATGTTCTGACTTAAAAGAGTCAGTCCAAAACTAAAATAAATTTATTGAAATATTTAAGCCGGGCATTGCCATATGATATTAAATGAATGTATGGGAACTTCAGATAAAAGACACAGGAAATATATGTTAAGATCCCCTAAAATAAATAACCATTTGACTTAATTGTTTCTAAAAATTTATCAAATAATAAACTCGAAAATGGCAGATTCAGAAGCAGTCTGAAAGCAAGGACTTTCTTGGATTAAAGGAAGTACACCTAGCTTTGATTGGAAATTTTGTTCTGTAAACTGACTTTAACAGGTCAAATCATGTTCTGACCTCAAAGAGTCAGTCAAAACTAAACTTATTACAACTTTTAAGTCTAGTATTGTCATATTGATTTAAAAATGTATGGGAGAGCCAGATAAAAAACAGAGGAAATAAGGTCCCCTAAAGTCACAATAATGAGGATTATATAAAAAAGTTTATTTGGTATATTCAATATTAAAAAGTATTTTGTTTTAAACAGGTCAAATTATGTTCTGACTTCAAAGAGTCAGTCAAAAACTATACTTTAACTAATAATGGCAACTTCTAAGTCTGGCATTGTCATATGCATTTAAGAATGTATGGGAAAAACAGATAAAAGACACCCAATAATAAAGTCACAATAATGAGGACTATAAAAAAGTTTGTTTGGTATATGTAATATTCAAATGTATTTTGTTTACAAGTTTCATCAAATTATCTTAAAATTTTATTCTATTTCTGTATTTTCATGACTTTTTCTTTTCTGTTAAGTTAACACATGGAACTTTTGGTTGTAAAAAATATTATTTTAAAGACCATTTGACTGAATTGTTTCTAAAAAAACTTATCAATTAACATGATTAATTAACTAAACAGTAGCAGATTCAGATAAAGGGAAAAAAGGGGGGGGGGCTTAGAGGAAGAAGACCTAGTTTTGATTGGAAATTTTGTTCTGTAAACTGACTTTAACAGGTCAAATCATGTTCTGACTTCAAAGAGTCAAACAAAACTAAACTTATTTCAACTTTTAAGTCTAGGATTTTCATATTGATTTTAAAATGTATGGGAAAGCCAGATGAAATAAGGTCCCCTTATGTCACAATAATGAGGACTATAAAAAAGTTTATTTGGTATATTCAATATCAAATGCATTTTGTTTTTAAAGATTTTCATCAAATTATCTTAAAATTTTTTTTTATTTCTGTATTTTCATGACTTTTCTTTTCTGTTAAGTTTACACATAGAACTTGTGGTTGCCAAAAAAAATAAAATTTTAATAACCATTTGGCTGAATTGTTTCTTAAAAAACTTATCAATTAATTAACTCAACAGCAGCAGATTCATATTTAGGGGGCGGGGGGGGGGGGGGGGGGGGGGGGGGGGGGCTTAGAGGAAGAACACCTAGCTTTGATTGGAAATTTTGTTCTGTAAACTGACTTTAACAGGTCAAATCATGTTCTGACTTCAAAGAGTCAAACAAAACTTAACTTATTACAACTTTTAAGTCTAGTATTGTCATATTGATTTAAAAATATATAGGTGAGCCAGATAAAAGACAGAGGAAATAAGGTAGCCATAAGTCACAATAATGAGGACTATAAAAAAGTTTACTTGGTATATTCAATATTAAATGTATTTTGTTTTAAACAGGTCAAATCATGTTCTGACTTAAAAGAGTCAGTCCAAAACTAAAATAAATTTATTGAAATATATAAGCTGGGCATTGCCATATGTTATTTAATGAATGTATGGGAACGTCAGATAAAAGACACAGGAAATATATGTAAGATCCCCTAAAATAAATAACCATTTGACTTAATTGTTTCTAAAAACTTATCAAATAATAAACTCGAAAATGGCAGATTCAGAAGCAGGGCTTAAAGGAAGTACACCTAACTTTGATTGGAAATTTTGTTCTATAAACTGACTTTAACAGGTCAAATCATGTTCTGACTTCAAAGAGTCAAACAAAACTAAACTTATTACAACTTTTAAGTATAGTATTGTCATATTGATTTAAAAATGTATGGGTGAGCCAGATAAAAGACAGAGAGAATAAAGTCCCCATAAGTCACAATAATGAGGACAATAAAAAAGTTTATTTGGTATATTCAATATTAAATGTATTTTGTTTTAAGCAGGTCAAATCATGTTCTGACTTAAAAGAGTCAGTCCAAAACTAAAATAAATTTATTGAAATATTTAAGCAGGGCATTGCAGGGCTTAAAGGAAGTACACCTAGCTTTGATTGGAAATTTTGTTCTGCAAATTGACTTAAACAGGTCAAGTCATGTTCTGACTTTAAAAAATCAGTCAAAAACTAAATTTATTGAAATTATTAAGTCAGGCATTGCCATTTGATATTAATGATAATGTATGGAAAAATCAATTAATAAACTCAACAGTGGCAGATTCAGAAGGGGGCTAAGAGGAAGAACACATAGCTTTGATTGGAAATTGTGTTCTGCAAATTGACTCAAACAGGTCAAATCATGTTCTGACTTAAAAGAGTCCGTCAAAAACTAAATGGATATGCATAAAATCTGGTTCATAATTTTTGAAAAGATGGAGAGATTAATGAGTCTATATTTTGTTATTCCGACTCACAAATGTCACTATGTGACAAATTTTGGGAATTTTTCTCTCCTTTTGACTGATTCCTATATGTTGTATGGGTGCCATAACTATCACTTCAACATGTACAAAGTCAGCACATTCTAAGGGACGCCATCAAAAGACCAATGTAGGATAAAAAAACTTAAATCAAATAGTTTGGGGGTGGGGGTGGGGTTAAAGTTGCTGCAAGTTTTGTTTATCCAAAATCGATTTTACATAAATCCATATTGGTCAATCATTCTTTCCCAAATTAAGTTAAGGGGGGGGGGGGGGGGTCAGTGAAAAAACTATGTGATGTGAATTAAGTTTTTTATCCTATATTGAACTTTTGATGTCGTCCCTAATGACTTGACCTATTACAGTATTTCTGTCTGAATTTTTATGAATATTCTGTATTTACTAATTTAACTACATGTATGTTATTGCAAGTGTATTAATTAGCTTTGTTTATTACTTATATTAAACTAAACCTCTATTAATCAATTATCTTTACTCTGGTTATTGATTATATAAGAAAACTCTGCCTATTACTATATGACTGTAATCTAAACTCTGATTGTTAACATCCTGGATTGCATATCTGCATGACCATTAAACTCATGGTATACCCATTTTATTTGAGGATATAAAAGTATTGTTTTTTCAATATAACATTTTTAGACACATTGAATCTGTGAAGACAACTTTCAATTTGACTTTAGAAATTAAAGAGTTTGTAAGCAAAATGTTGGGGAAATTTAATTATAATTAAGAATGTTTAAAATTAGTTAAGAAAAAAGCCGACATTAATAATGTTAAAAAAAATTTGAGGAGAAAAAACATACAAATTCAGACCAAATATGGTGACTTTGTTGTCCTTCAAGAAGCCGTACATATAATCCATAATATTTTCACTGTTTTTTAAATACATGTAAAAGTTGAAAGATAACTATCTATTAATTTTTTTTTAAATAGCTTTTTTCACAACACTTATAACTTTGTAATTTATGTTCCATTGTACACTTGTTATTCTTAATATCTTTAAAAATTGTTGTTTGGGAACAAAATCTTGTCAGGGTTTCTTATGGTACTAGCATGACAAGTGCATTCATATTCTAAAATACTCTAAACATTAAAAAAAGTCAGTATTTTCAGATCATTCTGAGTCATTCTGACCTTATTAAGTCAGAACATTCAGACTTTTATAAGTCAGAACATTCAGACTTTTATAAGTCAGAACATTCAGACTTTTATAAGTCAGAACATTCTGACTTCCAATGTTCTTCTCACTTCTGTAGAAACAAAGACTATCTATGTCTCAAATAAGAGGTAAATGCTTCATGTGGCTAAGCATCTGGGGTAAGAATTATAGATGTGTAATTTCAGAGGAAAACAAATATGCCAAAATTTTATTTTTTTTTCATATAGATTAGACCGTTGGTTTTTCCGTTTGAATGGTTTTACACTAGTAATTTTTTGAGGCCCTTTATAGCTTGCTGTTCGGTGTGAGCCAATGCTCTGTGTTGAAGGCCGTACCTTGACCTATAATGGTTTACTTTTATAAATTGTAACTTGGATGGAGAGTTGTCTCATTGGCACTCATACCACATCTTCCTATATCCATGTAATTAATAAGATGTGATGCATGTGAGAGGAAAATAATACTAAATAGACAATTCTGTTTGCACAAACACTGATAAATATAATATGTAAAGGTGGTCTCTCAGCAGATTAAAATAAACAAGAAATAATTGTAACAGGATGCTGTTACGAAGTCTCCCAAACAAATTTAAGCTCCCATAATTCGTCATTCCCATGGTTGCCTGACATTGGGCAAGTTCCAGTACAAATTGGTTTTGTCTAGTAAAGTGATATGCATAAGTGACGCCTAGGGTTTGACCCTGCATGTCATTCAAATCTTCTTGAAATGACGAACAGGAATATCATATGGTTTACCTTTAGGGGTGGTGATCCAGAACATTTCAAAAAGGGGGATGGGGATGACCCCAATGGACTTCCCCTATATTTCATTTGATTTGTTTTATTGTCCTGTGCAAGAATGTATATGGTGTAGGGGTGGGGATCTCGACCGTTTGCAAGTTTTCAAACATGAGAGGGTGGGGTGACCCTCAGGGACTCCACCTTTATTTCATTTGATTTGTCTTATTGACCCTTACAAGAATATATATGGTTAAGGGGTGGGAAGCCCGACCGTTTACAAGTTTTCACACAGGAGGGGGTGGGGGTGACCCCAAGGGACTTCCCCTATACTTCATTTGATTTGTTTTATTGTCCTATTCAAGAAAATATATGGTTTAGGGGTGGGGATCTCGACCGTTTACAAGTTTTCAAACAGGAGGGGTAGGGGTGACCCCCAGGGACCTCCCCAACATATCATTTGATTTGTTAAATTGTCCCATACAAGAATATGTATGGTTTAGGGGTGGGGATCTCTACCGTTTACAAAATATAAGAACATTTGCAACTGGCAGGGGGTGGGGGTAAACCTGGAGACTAGCCCGGTATATTTCATTCAAATCAATTTGACATTATAAAGAGGAATAGAGAAATGACAGGGATAGGGGTGATCCCTGGAGACTTGCCCTACATTTCATTTGATTTGTTTTATCACGCCCATGATCATAAATGAAGACCAGGTGTGTGCATCACTTATACACCTTATCGCTATTCCCGCTTGACCCGAGAATCTGTCCCGCTCGGACTTTTGACGTCATACAACAATCACTTTTCCATTGTGGCGTCAGACATTTTCTATTATGACGTCAACATTTTACGGGAACTTGTGTGATGTCCAGTAATGGCAGACAAATAGCGATAAGGTGTATTGTTCGGTATTGTTCTCAAGTTATAACTTTAAAAATAAAAAAAAAAAACCTTGGATTCTTTAGTTAAACCCTTCCCTTCCTTTTTCTTTTATTAAAATTTTTCCGATTTTCGTTTCATTATCATCATATCAATATTCACAATGATCGTTTTTCTCATAGGGAGAAACGAATCAGAAAGGTTAAAAAATCAGTTCGTGATTGAGTTTAAAAATAGAAAAATCACGTGACGATGTTCAGCTCGAAGCAATAATTTAATTTTTTAAATTGCACAGACTGGTTAATAATGTTAATATTGTTTAAGACAACACGAGTTATCTCCCGAAAATAACAATTCATTATCATAACAACATTTTCTGACCTGAACAAGTCAGAATTGTCAAACACCAGGTCATCTAAAAGACCACGCGTCCGTATTTACAGGTCGCGCGCCTTCATGAAACAGCAAAAAAATCACTTGCAAGGAACTTCTTTATAGGCAAAAAATATAAAAATGCCCATCAAAATACGGAGGTAATATGAATTACCTTTCTAAAAATGCCCACAATGACCTAGATTTTCACTAAAAATCGTAAATAATCAATATAATATTCAATGACTTCTCGTTCGAGACACTTCCAAAACAACGACTCTCAAACACGTGATCTCTTGCAAAAAACCACGTGATCGTATGTGTCATAGATCGGCGGCAAATTCAAAATAACTTCTGGTTTGACGGACTCGAGTGAAAACTACGCAAAACAAAAATTGACGCGTACAGGTCAGAATTTCAAAACACTTTCTGACTTGAAGAAGTCATTTTATTCTGACTTGTTTATGTCAGAGCTCTGACTGCTATATATACACAAGTAAAACTAACTAAGAGTTCCCTGTCCTCAGTTCTTAAAAGACTGTTGTTAAAAACATAATAAAGGAACCTGTTTTTTCTGACACTTGGTTTATATTTGACGGATTTAGTAGGACTACTAGTTTTTCAGTATCAGATAGATTTGGAAACATAGGATTATCTATTGCCATGTCATTAAAAGGTTTTATACGTAAAGCATTATTAATTTGACAGTGGAGGAGAAAGTGATTTTCATCTTCTAAGGTTTTACAAGTTGGACACGACGTAACGTTCTATTGTTTTGAGGTATGTTTAGATTATCTGCCCTTCAATGATCAAATTATGGTAACTAATTCTAACTTTTTGTAAATAAACGTCTAGTTTGTTTCAAAAATTTGGATGAAGATAAAATTTTTGGTCTTGTTTGACTTTAATATTTTTGTATGAAAGAAAAAGTTTGTTATTTTCATTTAAACTGTTCATGTTATTTTCCAGTAATTCTGAATTAAAGTTGCATTTAATATTCTTAATCAAAGTCTGTAGTTTTTCACTTGTTCCATATTTTGACAGGACACTATTTTTTGTATATCAATATTCATTTCTTGTGTTGAATCTACCAGAATTTTTCTAATTCCATTTTTTTGGAAAATATTGTACAATGAATGATAAAATACAATGTACACACCTCAGGGCCCTCGACGAGAACATATAGCTTCCCTTGACCAATCAGAGCCTTCAGCCCTATTCCATCAAATTTGAATGTTGATGGTTCATTTGGTTTGGATAATTTTTTATGGGAGCACGATAAAAAATTGATCTTGGTGGGATCTTTGTCAGTACTGTCAAATATGTCAAGTAGTTTGTTTTTAATAGTGTCCTCTGTATCCTCCGAACTTATGTTAATTAATCCTTCTTCTAGGATAATATCTGCACACAGAATGCCTGGCAATTTTATATTTCCAATAAAAACAACTTTATATGACTTTTCAAATAACTTCTTCTTCTTCTTCATTTGTTGTCTGATGTCTTTTCTGGAGGCAGCTCCCTGTATTGGTGAGAAATGTGTCCTTGGGTGTGAAGTGGCTTTTGACGACTTAAACACAGAAGCAATCTGCTGAGCCAATCCACTTGTACTTGGCCTGTTGCCAATGATATCTCTTGCTTGTCCTATATTAAGTAAATATTATCATAGTAAAATTAAAAAGATAAAATTAAAGCAGTTGGCGATTATCATGACAAAATTTTAAACTAAACAATTATTTGGAAAGATATTACTTCAGGTACATGTATCACAACTTAAAGACACGGTATCATACCATAATTTTTCAACACATTTTTTGGCGGTCATGTACTCGTCTAAAAGTACTGAAGTTAATTAGGTATCAAAAATCCTTTCACCTATTTATCATCTGTTTCACCCCTTATTCTCCAAAACAGTATTGGGTAGAAAGCTCAAAATCACTCACAGTCATAGTATAGTACTCAGATATCTTATTTTCAAAGTTCCTAAAGAACAATCAACTAATACTTTTAAATCATTCGATAGTATTGCAAAAACAATTCAGAGAATTTGCTCAAAAGATATAGGTTTAAAAAGAGCCTGTTCGAGACATAATTCATTGAACTTTTTTTTCATCAATCTGCAACAAAAGTGGGCAACTGATCTTTGCCAAGCTATTAGGTTTTTTGTTGAGTTTCATCAATACAAAGAGCTCAGCACCTGTACATGCTGTAGTTTTGTTGTACAAAAAAATAATTGATTTTTCTACCAACCATGAATGTACTTACCAGCACGTTCTGCTGTTGTTACAACAATATATCTTCTTGTTCCCCAACCTCCATCTGGAGAAGAAAACCCTCTTGTATCAGCTGCAACGGCTTTCAACACCCCTCCTACATGGTATCTCAAACCCACTGCTGAAGGAAACTGTGATTTGAGTGTCTCCCTCTCCAAAACATCTTCTTTAAGTGGCAATAAGACCTCAGCATCATAACAAAGTTCACTATGTGAAACCTTTATATGACCTGACATCATATAAACCTAAAAACAGAAATATGGAAACCAATTATTGATCAGAGTCTGAATCGTTCACCTAAAATATCATGACAATTGCCACCAAATATTTGAAATTTGGGAACACAACTGGACTATTTTAACTCACTTGTGCATATAATTCTGGTTTCCATTGGCATTGATTTTGAATATTTTTTCTAATACATGTATATCCCTATCCTCTCCTCTCTATTTATATTTCACAGGCACTTGGGTTCCCAGCCAGATATACAGGGAAGTAAGAATAGTCCATTTTTATAAAAATTAGCAACCATGGGCCTGTGTTACAATGTATCTGAGTGCCCAAGAAACCCATAATGGCATTTATAACAAGAAGTAATTGTAACAAGATGCTGTTACGAAGTCTCCCAAACAAAGCTCCCTTAATTTGCAATTCCTATGGTCACAAATTCATTTGATTTGTTTTATTGTCCGATATAAGAACATATATATGGTCTAGGGACAAAGATCTTGATCGTTTACAATTTATCAAACATGAGGGGGTGGGGGTGACCCTTACGGACTGCACCTATATTTCATTTGAATTGCGTTGTTATCCCATGCAAGAATATGGTTAAGGGGTGGGGATCTTGACCATTTACAATTTATCAAACATAAGGGGATGGGGGTGCTCCCCATAGACATCCCCTACATGTAATATTTCGTTTTATTTGTTTTATTGTCACATACAAGAATAAATGGTTTACCGTTTAGGGGTGGGGATCTCAACCATTTAAAATATGTTCAAACATGATGGGGTAGGGGTGACCCCGATGGACTCTCCCTATTTTTCATTTGATGTGTTTGTCCCATACAAGAATATATATGATATAGGGGTGGGGATCTTGACCGTTTACAAGTTTGCAAACTAGAGGGGGTGGGAATGACACACACCCCCAACTTCCCTTTAATTTCATTTGTTTAACTGTCCCAAACTAAAGTATATATGGTTTAGGGGTGGGGATCTGAACCATTTACAAGATAATAGCACATTCTCAAATTGAAGGGGGTGGAGTGACCCAGGGACTCACCTTTAGTTTTATTATCCTGTGATCATTTTTGAAGACTATGTGTCTTTCACTTGCTGTTTTCAAGTTATAGATATAGGAAGTCATGTTGTGTGAATGCCAAAGAGACAACTCTCAATCCAAATAACAATTTATAAAAGTAAATAACCAGTATAATAATACTAATTATAGGTCAATGTACGGCCTTCAACATTATAGTCATTTAAAATTAAAAAAAAATAAAAACCCATAGGGTTCTGTAGTAAAACTGTCCCTTCCTTATGCCTCCCCAAAATACCCCTTAATAAACCCGATACTGCATGCACAAACGAAAGGTTGATGGCTCCCCTAATCATATTAATTAGTCTAACATTTTATGAACCCTAAGTATATCTGACAAGCAGTTTTGGAGAACAAGTTTATTTTTCAAAACGTATCGGAAGAAAAAGAAAAATAATAATAAAAGTAATATGAACAGAGCAACAAGAGTGCACACACTGAAATGTCTCGCCTTCTTTACTATAATCATTTATATTATGTTGATAGTCCTAAATATAAAGCTTTATTACAACTGTCACATAAACTTAACATTAACCAAGTAAACTACATTGACCAATGAACCATGAAAATGAGGTCAAGGTCTGATGAACCATGCTAGGCAGGCATTTACAGCTAACAATTCTTCCATACAACAAATATAGTTGACCTATTGTTTATAGTTTAAGAAAAACAGACCAAAACACAAAAACTTAACACTGAGCAATGAACCTTGAAAATGAGGTCAAGGTCAAATAAAACCTGCCTGACTGACATATAGATCATAAAATATTTCCATACACCAAATATAGTTGAACTATTGCATATAGTATTAGAAAAAAAGACCAAAACTCAAAAACTTAACTTTGACCACTGATCCATGAAAATGAGGTCAAGGTCAGATGACACCTGCCAGCCAGACATGTACACCTTACAATCATTCCATACACCAAATATAGTAGACCTATTGCATACAGTATAAGAAAAACAGACCAAAACACAAAAACTTAACACTGAACAATGAACCTTGAAAATGAGGTCAAGGATAAATAAAACCTGTGTGACTGACATATAGATCATAAAATATTTCCATACACCAAATATAGTTGAACTATTGCATATAGTATTAGAAAAAAAGACCAAAACTCAAAAACTTAACTTTGACCACTGAACCATGAAAATGAGGTCAAGGTCAGATGACACCTGCCAGCTAGACATGTACACCTTACAATCATTCCATACACCATTTATAGTTGACCTATTGCATATAGTATTAGAAAAAAAGACCAAAACTCAAAAACTTAACTTTGACCACTGAACCATGAAAATGAGGTCAAGGTCAGATGACACCTACCAGTTGGACATGTACACCTTACAATCATTCCATATACCAAATATAGTAGACCTACTGCTTATAGTATCTGATATATGGACTTGACCATGAAAACTTAACCTGGTTCACTGATCCATGAAATGAGGTCGAGGTCAAATGAAAATTGTCTGACGGGCATGAGGACCTTGCAAGGTACGCACTTACTAAATATAGTTATCCTATTACTCATAATAAGAAAGAAATTAACATTACAAAAAATGTTGACTTTTTTTTCAAGTAGTCACTGAACCATGAAAATGAGGTCAAGGACATTGGACATATGACAGACGGAAACTTCGTAACATAAGGCATCTATATACAAAGTATGAAGCATCCAGGTCTTTTAGCTTCTAAAATATAAAGCTTTTAAGAAGTTAGCTAACGCCGCCGCCGCCGGATCACTATCCCTATGTCGAGCTTTCTGCGACAAAAGTCGCAGGCTCGACAAAAACAATTAGTTTGGGAGACTAAATAATAAGAACAGTCTTTGCAACATTCCTGTGGAGTGCAGTGTGTTGAACCTTCTATCAGTAGATACATTTTGTACATTGAAGGACCAATATGGATACACTTTTAGTATTTGACATATTGCAGAGAATGGTGGGTTGACTCAGTCCCACAAAGCATATTTGACACACAAAAAAGGTTTGGATAATCTATAAATATGCTTGGATATATAATCTATTGATAACCTGATCGACTACTTTTCAAATTGACAAAAGACTTCAGACCAGAAATAGAGTCAAACTCCTACCTGAAGATCTATTCAAAAAGTGTTTGTTTGTGCAACCGGACTTGATTAAATAGTCATAATGAATTTAATTCATTGAAATGTAACATGCTGTCATAGATACTTAATTTCCCATTCATTGTGTCACAAAAAAGGGTTAAAATGGAATCAACTTGGAGACAATTTGACTGAACAGAATGGAGTGTGAGCCATACGTGTTCATTTTTATCAATGGAGATCACTAAAACTTGTTATAGAGCCAAGGGATATTTGTGTTTTAAATATACAAAATCTAGAGCACTTGCAAGTAAGAAATTGATATTTTCAGTCATATAAAAGACCATAACTCTTATTCTATATATATGACAAATCTGGCTGACACTCAAGCCTGTCTATGAATTAATGGATATTAAGCTGCATGCTTTTAAATTTCATGAATCAATCAACAAATAAAAATTGTAGAATCCTTATATAAGTGAATTAAGAGCTGTGATATAAGTACATGATAAGCCCATTGCCCCTTTAGCTTGTCTTTATGCTTTAAATGATTTTTTTTTACATTAATTAAGCGGTTAGATTTCTCATTTAAATTGTTTGACAGTTGTCAATAGGGATCTTACATCAATAGATATAAACAATTCACCAAAGTTTCATGAAAGTTGGTGAAAGTGTTTTAGGGTTATTATTGTTCCACCCTTTTTTAAGTATAAAAGTTCATTACTGGAAAACGTATAATCTGAAATTTATAAAAATTGGAAGGTACCTTAAGCATCTTAAGCCAACAGATATAACATGTATAAACAATTCACCAAAATTTTGTGAAAGTGTTTATGAGTGATTGTCCGGAAACTGGAAAATTCCACCTTTTTTAGGCATAAAAATTCATGACACAGAAACATAAACTGTGAAATTTAAAAAAAATCGAAAAAGTCACATATACAGTATGTCAATAGATATAAACAATTCACCAAAGTTACAGACAACGGTATACAATAAAATGTCCGGTATTCATGGTATTAGACAGGCGTATAAAAATGACACTTTTCTGTCAAACAAAGAGCCATAAATCCTGTTCTTGGGCTTATGCATTTTAAGCAAAAGTATCCATACCGAGGTGCCATAAAGAGAGAAAATCAATGGATGGAGAACAAAACACCAACAAGATGGTGACACATTCAACATACAATTTGGAATATTTACTTGTATATTAAAGGACTAATTCCCCCTCCCCTTCCCCATTTTCCTAATGTAAATATAAATTTAATCCATTCAAAAAATAAAACAAGTGAAACTACAAGCTACTGCTCACTGATGATACCCCCGCCGCAAGTGGATAATATTAATAGTGTAAAAATATGCAAGTGTTCGGTAAACAGGAAGTTGTTGAGTGATGAATCTGAAAACACATCACACAGTATAGCTGACTTATATAAACCCTGAAACCAAATTTCAGAAATCCTTGTATTGAAGTTCCTGAAAAAATGTGAAGAAAACTTTCAACTTGGCTATCATGTTTAAAATCATACAAGTGTTAGGTAAACAGGAAGTTGTTGAGTGATGAATCTGAAAACACATCACACGGTATAGCTGACTTATCATGCTTATACATGTTATATAAACCCTGAAACCAAATTTCAGAAATCATTGTATTGTAGTTCCTGAAAAAATGTGATGAAAATTTTCAACTTGGCTATCATGTGTAAAATCATACAAGTGTTCGGTAAACAGGAAGTTGTTGAGTGATGAATCTGAAAACACATCACACGGTATAGCTGAATTACATAAACCCTGAAACCAAATTTCAGAAATCATTGTATTGTAGTTCCTGAGTAAAAATGCAAAAATATTCATGGGACGGACTGATGGAAAGATGGATGGACAGACAGAGTTAAAACAGTATACCCCCCCCCCCCCTTTTTTTAAAGCGGGGTATAATCCTAGTCAGTGCTAACAAGTTGGAAACGACAAATTTTCAATCATATAAAGGGCAATTTCTCCTTGAAATAAAAGTGAATCTGGCTGAAATTCGAAATTGTCCTATGAGAGGCTATGAATATATATAAAGCTCTCATTATGTGTATAAATATGAACAAAATATGCTGACAAATAAAAGTTCTAGAGAGCTAAGAATTCCTGAAGAAAAATATGTTTTGAAATATGCAAAGACATATAGTAATTATTAACCACAGTGGGACGTGGAAAAAAATCTACTTCGGGGATTCAGAGATGGGAACTAGAACACATTCCAATTTTTCCATAAACGGCCATTGTGGTGCATATTTCGGCACTTTTTTACATTGGTTATTAGATGTACCGCAACTCTTTCCAACAAGTGTTTCCATCTGATGAACCTGCTGTCAATTTCCAGTTCTGGTTTACGGATTTTTTATAAACAAAGCGAGTACTTTGTGGCAAATAAACCAAGATTTCTATAGAAAATCCACAGCCTTCAATACAGAGATTTTTGTTATAAAATTTCAAACATAGATTACTCACTTGCTTTTCTAAAATGTGCTTGTGTTTATTAATTGTTTACAAAAAAATATAAGCAACCTGTAAATTCCCAAACATCTGGTGCTGAGCCAGTCAAGTGCACCCTAAAAGGTGTACTTAATTTGAGCTAAATTCTTATTTGTTTTAACCATTATTATAACTACAGTAATAAACTTGTTTTGAGAAAATTTCAATGCTCGCAATAATCCTATATCTATCAGTCATTAAATTGCCTTATTTGAGGGAACAAGGATAAATAGAAAAGGCTGTGGATGTTCTAGTCTAAATAATATTATGACGTCTGGCAAGGCTATTTTGGTCGCAGGAAGGCGTCCATGAAAAAAATCAAAATAGCCTTGCCAGACGTCATAATTATTTGGACTATGGATTTTCTATAAACTTTCCATATGTTTAGTATTGAATCAACACAAGGGTACATAATCCTAACACTAACAGTAACAGCCTGCAATGCCGGACTCGCATGAACGCAAGATTTAGTTAGTGGGGCGACGCGTTTTTTTAATTCTTGGTCATGCATTCGTGTTGAGAAAGAAAGGGGGAATGCAAACAGTTACACAAAGCGTTACCTTCTCATATATCTATCAACAGCTAATCAAACGTACAACTTCAACATGTGAGTCAAGCAGGGGCTGCCATTTTCGACTATGTCGACCAATCACAAACGTTGTTGCAAATTTGACCTTGTGACGTCAAACAATTTCCCATAATGCAATTATTGCATATAAATAAAAATTATTGCATATAAATAAAAATTATTGCATATAAATAAAAAAACGACAATTATACCAATTGAATGAAAAATATTGCAGCACAATGACAAGTTATACAAATTGAATAAAAAATATTGCATTTGAATGACAAATTATACCATTTGAATAAAAAATTATACCATTTGAAAGAAAAATTATACCATTTGAATAAAAAATATTGCATTTAAATGAAAAAATATACCATATAAATGAAAAATTATACCATTAAAATAAAAAATATTGCATATAAATGAAAAAATATACCATTTAAATGAAAAAATATACCATACAAATGAAAAAATATTGCATATAAATAAAAAAATATTGCATATAAATGAAAAAATATACCAATTAAATGAAAAATATTGCATTTAAATGAAAAATATCAAATTTTTGCAACCAATACCATGCCATAGGCCCCATTGGAAATAAGCTTTACTATGTAAGCATTTATTGGATATCCCAGGCTTTTTTGTAAGCACTGTTTTTAAAATATATTATGATACTAATTTAAAAGTATATATTATTGTCCTGTCTTGTGAATTTTTGTATATGTGCTTGAATTTGCCTAAATAAAACTATACTATACTATACTAAGTACAATTCCGGCGATAAGTCTTAATTTTTAATTCGGTAGGTCTATTATTGAGCAAAACGTGTGTATTCATATCACATTTAATAATATAATATTTGCCGCTGGATGGATGGATGGATGCATGTGTGTCATTTATCTCATGATAATAACAGACTGAATACCTGCTGCGTGAATAAAAGAATTTGCCTTCAAACAACTTTTTTATCAGTAAAAATATTCCTTCAAAGTACTCGTTCAGCTAAAACTAAAATCATACTTCTTACATTCTAATATCAGCTGCCGATCATGCCAGCAGATTTCATACAGCATCGCAATGAACAGTATAATAGTAAAACAAGATTTGTATATTGTATCATTATCATCATTCTACTGTATTTCTGTTACTAGTACATGTACTCATATTTAATCACGAGGTTGAATATTATTTGAGTAATGTAATGAATTAAAGATATTTTTCAACACTTGTAAAAATATCCATCAAAATGGAATGCATACCACATATTGCATTTGAAAATAGTAAACAATCGATTCTACGAGTTTATTAACTATATTTCACATAAAGAACATAGTTTGGTTATTGATTTGTAATGTCCTTCTTTTTCTTATCAAGTTAATTTCAAAATTTCTTTACAAATTGTAAAGAAAGAAGTTTTGGGTAAATTTTGGCTTCATATTTTTATTTTTTGTTACAAAATTATGACAAAATAATATCGGAATATCGAATAATGTTGTACACATATTTTGAATTTTAATAAAGATTTGAAGGCTTGTTTTAAAATTCCCCGGCTAGTGAAACAAGTGTTAAGGAAATTGCTTATGACCCTTTGTATGAAGAATTATAATATAATATTCTCACACAAATGATCAATAATTGTAATATCTATTATTTATAAAATTTAAAATGAAGACAGTTGATCGTTTTTACATCGTCCTCCTGAACATGAAATATTTGCCACTGGACATTAAGGAAACCTACACTCAATCAATCGATTTTACCGGTTTTTTTTTGTAAAATTTTGCGTCGAAACACTTTTGGCGGGACGTCATGCGTGTAATTATCCGTAATAAAAAAATCCGCTTGAACGGTATTTAGTATAAGCGATGCTCCAACTTATGTTTCTTGCACACGTCAACTTCTATGCCTTTAAGATTAGTGCTTTTGATTCTAACATGATATAACTGTTTCTACTGTTCCTCGCCTTGAAGCTTCTGTGAGGTCTTGAACAATGAAGTCAACAACATATCGTATAGTGAGCAATCTCAAGACGACTGACTCTTTTGGTGTTAACATGATGCATGCCAATTATCATTTTTATTATCATTCATCCCTGATAGAATATTGATTTGGATCCGATTTTCTGACAACACACAAAAAATAATTTTACGGCGCATTTTAGTAACAAGCAATATCAAGTTGTGTCAAATTTCATATCGAAAGTTCAGATAGCGCAAAAATCTGTTATTCCACATCAACAATTCAAAAGAAGTAAATTTCCTCACGGAACATTTTATTCGATTTATTTATGTCAAATATGAGAGGACGCAATAATAATGGTATGCTGCAATTATTAGCGATGATACAACTTTTAAAATAATATATAGAAATTTGCTAACAAAATTACGCTATAATGAAATAATTCCGATTTTAATCGAAACTTTTACCAAAAAAAATCATAAAATACTGGTTATTACGAGGAGAATGTATGCAGTATAATAGTACAAAACCAAAAGAGGTAGGGCCAGTTTTCCATAAATTTATTACACACTGATAGTCTTTTTTTTTTTAGAGGTCTGTAAATCTGTTAAAAAATCATCACAGCTATATTTTGAGGTTTCTACAACAATATATAGTATTTCTGAACATTTATTAACCAGATTATAAATACTTTAAGTGACTTGCTTTAAAATTGTAATTTCGGACGGTATATGTTGGATATTTGGGAGATGAATAAAAAAGACACAAAAACCAAAACCAAAGTTATGAGTGATGCATGTATAGGTAACATGTCCCGTTTTCCATATATAAATGCACTCATTTTTGCCAGATAAAAAATTATGAAATTTTTCAAAGTTATTGTAAAGTTTTCTTTATAACTGTTATCAGTCACCCGAATAACAGTTTGAAATTATGAATCAATGTGAAATTATTAAAAGCGATTAAAATGTGAATAAAAGGATGTTTTGGGGGTATTTCAATGAAATAGCAGCCCACCAAACAAAAACAAAAACATCTAGAGGTCAACAAATGGTCTTCAACGATACATGAGTGTGTACAATTCCGACATGTCTCGCTCTAAATTGCCGCGAGTCTTTTAATTTAAGCCGTAAAAAAATCAACAGTCCGCAATAACTATACCTGAGATGTTTCTCACTTGGAACACGAACAAAATAAAAGTGAGAGGTATTTATGATACACATTTTTTTATTTCCAAAACAATATTATTATCCTAAGGTAGCTATTCACAAGCAATATATAAACACTTGGAAAATGTCGCCGATAACCTTGCAGGGATAATTGGCGGGAGGCGTAGAAATTGTCAGCCAGCGACGTCATGCATTTTCGCGTTAACGCTGGGGTTATCAAGGGGGGACGCAATTTTTTAGTATTAATCGCGATTTATCTTCGAATCCAACACGGTGACATATATTTTTCATTTGCTATTTGGAGAAAGCATGACAAAAGACAATTAATGCGGAAAAATGAGAAAAATGACTTTACAAGAACTTCTCGCTTTCCACATTTTAAGGTAATAAAAATATCCCACTTTGAGCATCTTATCCGTAATCTTAAGCATGGCTTGAATAATTAATTAGTCATTCTTGACGGGATTTATTTTTGCCTTATTTTCCCCTAACGCAGCTTCAGATTGAATTCAATCTTATCAATTTATGACGAGGAATATCTACTCGAAAATTTTTATAACTTTGCTAATTTGTTTTTTTGCTTAAGTGCAAAAATTCCCAATTTTCAGCCTCAATTTTCTCAAAAACAAACACGGTGACCTATGTTTTATTTGGTGATTTCTTTTATAACTCGTCCCTGGCTACAACATATTTCAAAATTATAAAAATGAAAATATAACGTGAAACTGTATCGGATGCCCTTAATCAAAATGATTTATTTCAAAACCCAATGTATAGCTTACTTCCCACAGTCTTTTGGTTTCGGTTAATGATGTCCTTATACAGTGTTGGTATAAATACTCTCAAGTTTGCCAATATTTGTCAAAATTTCTGTTTTGGGACATCTTTAGGATAATACAAGTAAATAACTTGGTAAAACCCAAATAAATGATACTGTAAAAGAAACAATTGAAGGACTTTTCGAAAATAGCCCTGGTGTGAAATTTATTTCAAGGATAATTGGCCATACCTGTTAATAGACGACCAATAGCAATTAATGCAAACGGAAATTCAGATAAAGTTTAATATTCAATGGGAATGACACTCAAATTTAAGCTTGGACAATATAAATTATAGTCCTATAAAAGGTAGTGTTCATACATAAGGCAATTAAACATTACTCACAGACAACAAATTTACATTGTAAAAATATATTTTAAAACAATGGTGTGTCAGTAAGGTATTTAAAATATTTCAGAAGATTAAGTAAACCTTTAAAACAATGCTTGCAATTCAAAACAAAGTACTTATCGGTTATTAATTTATACATATTTAAAAACAGGTGCACTTTTTTACAAAATAGAGAATAATGCAAAAAGTGCAGAATAAATGGCTAAGAAAAATTAGAGAAAAATAGGCAAAAAAACCCCAAAGAAATATAGAATTATGGTCTAAAAAGTTAAAGAATAAAGAAATGAAGGACCCCCCCCCCCCCCCGACCCCCTCCACACCACCACCACCACCACCACCACCACCATCAATACAGACTCTCATATATTTCAAGCTTTCAAAAACAATGGAAATATTGGCCAGAATTAGAATAAAACAATTTGAATTATTTAGTTTATAATTTTCAAATGTAAAAACTAGTTTGAAAGAACTTCACCTGAAACACACTCACAAATATTTTATAATTACATGTCCATCTAAGTCAAAAAAATGATTTTATAAACATTACCGAACACCACAACTACAATTATACAAGATCATAACCAAGTCGCACCAACTTTTTGACAATTTTGTAGTGTAGTTATCGGACTTTGACCATTTTCTACCGTTAGTTTTTAATAAAAAATGTTCAGTACAAGAAAACTAACGGCCTAGTTTTGGATCAAATGATTGACAGCAACGAAAGGCTGCAATTGAATCACAGGTTAGCTCTCACCCCATATGGATTTTA